GAGAGAGAGAGAGAGAGAGAGAGAGTTGTTTTTATCAGGATATTAGGAAATAATTTTTGATCATATTCGGTCTCTATTCAGTTAACCAGGACCAGATTTAGACAGCATGGTATGACTTCAACATAATTGCTGTTTTATTTTTTTATAGAAAAAGTCTATTTGCTAGTATAAATGAGTTGATAGGGGTCCTTTTATGTTGAATTGAGTTAGTATAAATGAATCTTCTATCCCCTTCTAATTTTTTTTTTCAAAGGGATTGCTCAAGTTTTGTGAGATTGATGAGTGTGTTTCTGTGTTATGATGAAAGTTTCTAGTCCTCTCAAACAACACACTCATGAAAGTTTAGTAAGAACAACCTTGTTTGAATTTTGCTTTGGGTTGATGAGTGTGTTTCTGTGTTATGATGTACACCAGAAATAAATTCCTCGACAAATTGTTCTAAACTTTCATTTACGGAGCCCCTACTTTGATATCAAGGCTTGCAGTTTCTGATTATTGCTGTTAAATCTCAGGCGCCCAAGAAGAAGAAGAGTGACCTTAAGTACGACATACTTGGCTGGGTAATTCTTGCGGTTGGTATCGTCGTATGGGTTGGATTGGCCAAATCACATGGTCCTCCCCCGCCTCCAAGGTAAAGATGTCGGATGTTTTTATTCATCTGCAAGGGGAAGATTCTACCATACTAATTGATCATGAAGTGAACATGAAGGCAGTGTTAATGTGATTGTTGGAGAATACTAATGGGTGCAGCTTTCTAGTTTGCTGCTCCCTTGTGGCAAAAATCATCTCAAGTCCAATTCATCATTTGCTTTAGTAGGCGCATTTGTCTTGTTTTTTTCATATTGATGAAGAGAGGTTTCTATTTGCAATATGCCGGAAGTTTGGCATTTCTGAGTAATCTCAATACAGCAGACTGACAATGCTGGTGAAACAGTAGTGGCCATGAACTTGGCTTTTCGGGACAACTATTGCTTACCCTAAGTTGATAAATGCTTCCAAAATATTCTGGTCGTTAGTGCGGTGTTTCCAACTGACTCTGTGGAACTCTTTTTTTTTTTTTTTCTCTCTTATTTAGTCTTAAAAAAGGGTAATTTGTACCGCAATCATTTTGGGTGGATAACCATTGATCGGATGAATAAAGATCGATTAAAATATTACAATAACAACAATAAAATTGTAGGTCTTAAATATTTAATTTTTATTATATGAAATTTTTTGTTTATCATCATCATTGAAATTTGATTAAGCTCATTATTGATATAGTTTTATGTTAGTTGTCAATTGATTGTAATAAATGTTGATTTGGAATATGGATATTTTGTTGTCTAAATTTAAGACTATTATTCATTAAGTGATCGAATTTGATATTATTCGTTTCTTTGATAACATACATTCATGCTTTAGCAATTAAAAAGAAAAAGAGAGTTTACTTTGTCGACATATACCTCTAACTTCACCTTCTTCTTCCCAACCGATTTTGAAGCATTTCATTCATTGTTCCTACAAATGATCATCATATCCTTCTCCCGTCTCTGCCCCATCTGAGAACCCTACATCTAGTCTTCCCCTCTCGTGGATGGGTTTACTTCGTCAAGCCCAAGGAACACTGCCTCTCGGAAATCGAATGTTGCCTTTGAAGAAAAAATTATCAAGTAATTGTCTCATACTTGAGATCTCAAAGTTTAGATGAAAATTTTTTTTTGGGTAAGATTCAATCTCTCTTGAAACCAAAAATAGGATTTCATTGTTCTACCAAAGTGGGAAAAAAATAAACAGCTCAGCATAACACCACATGGAACACAAACTCTTACCAAAAAAACATGGAGGAATGATCGCAGCATGGTGTTATACTTGTCTTTAGAAGTTACCTTCGACACTTGGCTTTAGCCAATTTCTTTCGCCGCTTCTTCTCAGCCTTGGAGAACTTTTTATTCTTCCTTTGTTCTCTCTTCTCTTCTTTAACTTTCTTCTTGTGTTCTTTCCGAGCAGCTCTTTTCTCCTCCGGGCCCATCTCGTGCTCGCTCTCAAACGACGAACCATCCCCATCGGTATCTTCTTCAGACGTCGATTCATCTTCGGTTCCAACTTCAACAGTGCCTTGCATAGGTCGTTCTGTCTGCTTATCCTCTAACAAATTTGAGGGACCATTTGCTCTATCTGAGATTTGTTGATGTTGTTGGTTACATTCATTTCTAGTATGTACAAATCCTAGCAAAGGTTGATCATAAATCTCTTCTGCTTTCAGCTGATATGCCAACGACGGCCGTTGGAGCATGGCCATCTGAACTAGATCCTCCTCACACTTTTTAACATAGTCAACGGTCTTGAAATAGTGAAACGTGCGAATAACAGGCAACAGGAAGTGAAGATCAAGTCAGCAGAGTTACACAAATCATCATGAATCCTACTACTGAAATTATGTTGAAATAGGAAGAGCCATATATTTGCACCTAAATTAAGTTATCCCACAGGCCAAAGGTGATTCGATTATTTGGGCCTCTGACTAATCTAGGACTTAAAAGGGTAAGAATGGGACAAAAATGAGGCAACAACAATGTATTTTCATAGTCATCACATTATGTATTATGTATGATATTACATATATGTGAAGGTATAATGCATCACGTTTTGTCTGAAGAAACAAGGAATGCATCATGTGAAATTTGAAGGGATATCTAAGCAGCAATTATAAATATCAGTACCAAGAACTTGCTTGGTTAATGCCATGCTTTGCATGAACGCATAAAGTACCAGCATGTTAAAAAAAAAAAAGAAAGGATGATAAGATACCTGCACAAACACAGTAGGTGCAATTTCATCTCGGTTAACTGTCTCTCCTCTTTCTAAAACCATTTGCTGAATCTGAAATTATTCCACAAACATGATGATGATAAGGCACTGATTAGGCAATTTTTGAAAGATTAACTATATAGGGCATAGAAGTACCTTTTCTAGATAATCATCCACATCTTCATCAGCAATAGATGCATCAATGACAAAGTCAAGTAATTCCTTGACAGACATTACGGACACTCCATTTTTTCTGAAAAAATCCTGCAACCAACACGAATAAAAGCACAATTCTAAAATATCAGACAGGCACAAAAGGGGCTTGGCAACTCATCAAAGCATATTACTAACTGAAACATGAACACAATCTTCTTTCAGGAATTCCAGAGCACAGGGGTGATCAAGGTCTACTGATTGGGAAACATCAATTATGTACAAGTGACCCTACAAAATGAGAAGGAAAATATGAATATTCTTGGTTTACTACTAATTTAGGATGGTAATGAGACTGGTTTAATGGAACAGAAACTACTTACCTCAAAATAAAGTATGTTGTATTCACTTAAGTCTCCATGTACCAATTTACACTTCTGGTACAATGTTCGCATTGTTGTAATAATCTGAAAAATGAGTGGTGATAATTATTTTCACAACTGCTAGCCTGCAGCTTCTTTTAGATTAGGAAATATTAAATTTGATGATCAGCACAATCATCAAAAGCACTTCTATATTCCACGAATTTAAGAAGTAACATTGCAGATCAAATATAAGAACCATGTAAACAACTAAGTTTGTTGCTTCTCTAAAACCACTGTTAGCTTGTTTCAAAAAGTTGTAAGTGGCATTTAGTAGCAACAGCTAGACCATAATACACTCTATGTTGTGAAGCAATTGATAAGTATAATACAGAAACATCAGATTATGACAGATACCTCCACATAGCATTCGTGCAACTTATCTTCAGACAATGCAGCATCCTTAAGGCGAGGTGCAGCCCAGCCTGCTTTTCCTGCATTACAAATTAGGATTAATTACAATTATTCATGATGTTTGTGATATTTAACAAACTAAAAAATATTAAATCAATATGAAAAGCAAATGGGATATCATAATAGCAGCACTAAAATAATAATAAAACAAGAGATTTGACATTCTGACAACTGCAACTTTAGAAGAAAAAAAATCAGAAGAAAATATAAACACCTATGAATTCCATGACCAGAACATGAAGCCTCAAGAGCAATGGTGTCGGGCATCGAATTCCTGCAGCTTTTACTCTACAAGGACAGAGGAGCATTCATAAATAAAACAGCTATAGAGTTGCCTGTCCAGAAAAAATTATTACATAACTAGGATCTAAATCTAATTAATGAATTTCTGCAAAAAAAAATATCACACAGCTATCTTTAGATTTCCTCCGCTTCATGTTATGCATCTTGTCTTGTTCTTTCTTATTTAGAATATGACGCAATGCAGCATGCCACACACAAAGTAACAAGGGAATATCCACATGATTTTGCTTTGTTACTTTGACATCATTAATTTAATTAATTTATTTTTTTATATATATGGTTAAGAGAGTGCACAATTTATCCAAATAGAATAATACATATCAACAGTAATAGGAAGGCTCTTACCGCATGAGGTTTCTCATTTCTTTTTCTGCCCAAGTTTTTACCATTTTCCTAGGGTTGTTCTTGCAGTAACCATTTCTGAAACGGTAGTCCCCTTGTACATATCGGTCCCTATCTCTGCAGTTAGAAAATAATAATAAGAGCTGTCATATGACAAATAGTAAGTGCTTACAATAGTTTGAGGCTTTGTGCACAGATGACTGTACTTCAAACTATATCTTGGTTCTAAACCATTCATAGAAGTGCCTCCTACACAGATGTCAATATATAAAATGTAAACAGAAACTATATACCAAAAAATTCAATTTCTTCTCCTAACTGCTTATCAACCATCACACGATAAGCATCTTACAGTTCACATAGATTTAAAAGCAGAGCACGTTATAGCACACTGAACCATTTTGAAACCAAACAATGAAAATATAATCATGAATGACCATGAAGGGGAATCTTCAAATATTACAAGGTAAATCCAAGAGACACCATAAACAATTATGTACATGAATGGCTCCCATTTTCACCTATATGACAATGTGGCAATGGTATCAAAACAACCTCATTAACTAACACACTATCCTATATTCAAACAATCAGGCAATTACTGGATCCTAGTAAATGATGTAAGTCTATATTTGGCAGCTCATTTGTCCCATGACTAGGTTGCTTCCATCTGAATCAGAAAAATCACTCCTTTATGAATACTTATATAGTCATTACAACTTCATTTTTTGCTGATATAAGAATGTTTTTCTCCTTGATAGATGTGTCAACCAAAGTTTCCCATTTCAGATACCTGTTAGGACCCTTTTTCTGAGCTTTTGAATAATGTTTATTGAGTCTGTTTAATTCAGTTGTTTATTGAGTTCAGTTAGAGTCAAGTAGAGATTTATTTAATATTTATTTATTATTAAGAGTCCAAGTCCTGGACTCTAGGTGAAACTCTATAAATAATGATGTAATCCTTTCTTTTGAGAATCAATCAATCAATGAAATGTTATTCCACTCTGTGGACAAATCCTAGAAGGTCGATCCCCTCGAAGTGATCAAGGAGGGCCGATCCTCTCGAAGCGATCAAGGAGGTTGATCCTCTCGAAGCGATCATTATCATTCCCTTTTCTCCCCTTTCTTCCACGATAAGACTTTCGAGTCTTATCATTTGGTATCAGAGCATCCTCATTTCTCCCCTTTCTTCCACGATAAGACTTTAGGGTCTTATCATTTGGTATCAGAGCGGCGATCCTTGGCGTTCTTGCTGCAGTGTTGCCATAAAAATTTTTGTGTGAGGAAGGGTGAAGCCGGCAGCCACGAACGCCGATCCTTCTCAACCGAGAAGGAACCTCTGCATCTTGGTCAGCGACCATCGTTTCCCCTTCTCCACCGTCGTCGCTACTGCCCAGCCAGCAGTCGCCACCACCGCTGCTGCCCCCTTGCTGCAGTTATCTTCATCTTTGGAAAAAAAGAAGAAGAAGAAGAAGCCGCAGCCACCCCTGCTTTCCCTGCCAGACCCCTGCTTCCGACCAGCCCACCCGCCGCTGCTGCTTCCTGACCGACGGACCACCACCGTCGCCGCTGCTACCCAGCCAACCGCCGCCGCTGCCCCCCCCCCCCTGGCCAGCGACCTCGCCTCCTCGCTGCCCGCATCTCGAGCGAGAAGGGCCGCGGCCGCCATTTCCCAACCAGCGGACCACCCATCGCCGCTTCTACCGTCGGCGACGCTACCCTAGCCACACCGCCATCGTTGCCTTCCCTTGGTTGCAGCTTCGATCGTGCGATATGTCGGCGTCGCTATTTCTGTGGTGCGATAGAAATAGAGCAGCCGCCGGTCCCTCTGCTGCTGCAGGCGCCGGTTGCCTCTACCGCCG